CGTGCTTCAGTGGCAAGGGGTAACAGATGAAATTTTGTAACCCTGGAATATAAGCATTAAGCTGATGCAAAATCATCTTATCAACAATTATATCATATTTGTCAAGAACATAGCTTATTTTTAAAAGCGCCATATCCTTCATAAGCAAACGTCCACATTTAAATAGCTTTTTGCATTGGTCAGGATCTCCAACATCTAGCATTATCGTTCTAGTTTTATAAGCTTCATATCGTTCGATGATTATAGATATCAGGCTAGCGCAGAGTCTAGCATGCCCTTCTGAATGAGACTGAAATGGTGGTACATATTCGCAACCATTTTGAAGCGTCATTTTAGCGTATCCATTACTGTATGAATACATAGCACCATACCTTAGCAGGCAATGCACTAATTCTGGGCAACAGTAACGTACTGCACTTTCAATTGCCGTACCTGGATATGAGCAATTAAGCAATGATGAACACATCAAACGATAACCATCAAAGGTGGCCCTCTGCCTAGTTGCGTGATAGAGCAAAAATTCGAAAATATTTCTGTAGGATGATCCGAAACTGACGATCAAAACAGAATGTAAGTTGCCATTAATTTGGAGAAGAGATTGTAGTAATGTTACTATAAAAGCACTGTCTTCTTCTTGAGATGTAAAAGATGCATTGATAATGTAGCATAACAGCCTGATCAACTTATCTGAATTTTTAATCCTGGCGAAAGTTGATTCCAGTTCTTTGTAAAGTCGAAACATCGTTTTCAGATAACAAGATTTCATTTCCTTTTGATTCAGAGACATATAATCTTTAATTTTTCCTTCAATTTGATTCCTTTTCCTGATTTTCATTTGATTTTTCGTACTCATTTTTTATAGAACCGTTTTAGCGATTACGGTATTCACTAATTAAGAGATATTAACTCAAGAGCTATACGCGATTTATAATTTTTCAAATTATTATTTTCTTTTTGCACGTTTCAGTTTCAGTTGCTGAATTCTGATTTGATTATTTACTTAAGCTAACTCAAAAATTTGATCAGAGTTTTTATCCAAAACCCAACCAGCTTTTCGTCCTTCGTGAACTCATCGTTAAGCGTTTGTTTCTCCTTTCGTATTTCCTGTTGTGTGGCTCCTTGCTGAGGAAGCTCGTGCCAATATTTATAAAAACGGTATTTTATTTTAATTTATTTTATTTTATTTTATTTTATTTTATATTAGTCGTTGAACAACTGACCCAATTTTATGGGTTTACGACTACTAATGTTCAACTCCGTAACCTTGTAATTTTGAATCCAATCCAGAAGACAAGGGAACACCTGAATCGAATATTGGGAGAAATTTGCTTTCGTGGAAGACTTTTTGATGGAGCTAACCCACATTTGCGTTAAATGGAGAGGAAGACCACGAGAACCTCCCACGGTTAGCCTGACGGCAAGGGGACTCTAACCCATGATCCGTCTACCACTGAGGATATTGCACGTCACCACTGTAGTCGGTACAAGCCGGATGCGGAATTCGTATCGACTGGGATTCGAACCCGGTTTGCCTCATTGGAAGGCGAATGCTCTATCCCTTGAGCCATCGCGGCTCCTATAAAAACGATATGAAATTATACATTTAATTTGAAAGACTTCAAAAAAATAAAAAAGGCCTCGAAAATATGGAAATTGAAAAAAGCTCAAAGGCAAATTCACCATATTTTTCAGGTTCATATGTCTTATGCATCTTGAAAAATAATCCCAAGATAACCAGAAATTATGCAATCGAACATGGTGCAAATTGTTCCACAATAACTTCTTTGACTTAGATAGTATTTCTCAAAGTATTAAACTCACCCTCGTATATGTGGTAGTACCGCACCCACGCCTTATACCCGCATTTTTACAGAGCAAATCAATTAAGCAGCAGATTAGATAAGCAATGTGCACATTAAAACTTTTAAACTTTAACACTTTTGTGGTAGCATAACTATTAAATATTTAATCATTTGTTTAGATTTGGCACTACATATTTCCATCATTTCCTATCCATATACGTTTGCTGTTACATCCTATAGTACGTTTCTATAACCATAAATCATACAATTTCAGAATATAATTATGATTCATATCCAATCATCGAGGCATGCAATATATTATATGAATATTGATGACACTTTGAGAATCTATATATATATTTCTCTTACACGGCGACAAAAAAAGCCTCGTTACAACTCCCCGAATGGCAACGCTAGAAAATCGACCAATGATTGCCGCTAAAAATGTCACATGCCAAATCTAGCTGAGGCGGCTCAACATACAGCGCTTTTAAAAACGGAAACTGAAATAACAATTCAGCGGCGGCAATCTCATACTGTTAAGCTAGGCAGAAGTGAAGCGTCTTTGTCGATAGATCTCTATTTTAGTATTTTGTCGAAAGCGCTTTTTTTAACGAATTTATATATTACGAATTTATTTGACGATTTCTGATTTATATCACGAATTTATATGTTTGTTTTATTATTGTTATTAGTTATTCATTGAAAAATGAGTCTCAGTCAATTAGTATTTGATTTCAAATTTATTTCAATGACTTAGTATTTACTAAAAAGATGTAATTTTTTTAAAAAAAAAAAAGTTATATGGATTTGAATGATTGCTTTGAATTCTTAGAATTTTGTGCATTTCAACGTACCTAAGTTAGTAGCGAGCAAAGCGAGCTTGGTTTGCGAAGCAAACCATATAAGATTGCGTAGCAATTTTCGGGGGTTGGCGAGAGTTAGCGAGCAGGGGGCGCAGCCCACTAGTAAAATATATTTGGATAAACAAACGAGTGATATTTTCTACGTCACGTGAATGTGAGGTAATAGGAACTGTAATTTTGAAAACCAGAATTTCAGATAAACTATTATTATATGAATGGAAAAATTACTAAATTAATGGCTTAAATACCACATACTTTGGTCGTATTTACCAGAAATGACAATACCATACTATGTGGTAATTTTACCGGAATTGTTTTCTCTATGTAGAATGCTCATAAAGTTTATATCGTTTTGAACTTCAAGGAAAAGAATTCACAAATAACTTTGAATAACGTATTACGTTTAAGAAGAGATAAACTAAACTGTTTAAATAACCGATAGACAGCGTTAACTGCTTAGATCAGGCATATCAAACTAAATTCCTTTCTGGGGTCAAATTGGAAAAAAATAGAAAAAAATAAGCTTTAATTCATGCCATTATAATTTGAAGGGCACTAAAATGAAATTTTAACGTATGTGAAAAATACAATCTACTCTCATAAGAAATTTATGAAAAAGACAATACGCGTAAGCGAATACATTAAAATAATATTAATTGACAAAAATTTAACGTTATCTTTAAAGAAGGATCAAGTTTTATACACAGAAAATTTTATTTTAAAATTTATTCAATGATCTAAAATGTGAATTATTAAATATAAATATCTTCTCTATAAAATTAATAAAAGGAGATATAGAACTTGTTTGATTAGATAGATTAATCAAATGCATTTTTAATAATAGGAAATAATGAACAAATGCCAAGTGAAAATAAATTGTCATTGGAATTGTTGCTTTGTTTGATATAAATTGTAGTTTAAAAACACTTGAAAAATACGACCCAACAACTGTACGAAATACATGCAAAATATAATAAGCTTAATCAAGCACAATAATTTCATTATCAAAAATTCAATGTTATTTATGCAAGAAAGTTTACTTTTAGCAAATTTTATTTTGGAATTTTTTGAATGTTCTGATATGTAAATTACTAGCTGTAAACATCTCCTTTATAAAAGTAATAAATTAATTTCATGAGCTGGTATATATAGGGATATAAGGTGTTTTATACTGAATTGCAATAAACAACTTTTAAATCTTATAATTATATACTATGTGAAAAATTATAAATTCAAATATAATAAAATTCTTTAGACGCATTTTTGAAGCATTATTGTATGCATAATAATAAAATTTCACTGGAAAAATAGGAATTAACAAAAATTCTGATGGTGTAAACATTTCATTAATTAAATTTTTTTAACTCATTGACCAAACTTGTCTAGTTGTTGTAAAACTAAAAACAAAGCTAATCCTTAATAAAAATGTCCTAAACATCGCACAACTCACTAGCCGCACTTGTTTAGCTCTTTATAAAACTAAAAATCCCTAATCCTTAGTAAAATTGTTATCGACTTAATTATTTTAACTCACTAGCTATACTTGATTAGTTGTTTATAAAACTAAAAACAAAGCTAATCCGAAGTAAACATTTCATTAACTTAATTTTTTTAACTCACTTGCTATATTTGTGCAGTTGCTTATAAAACAAAAAACAAAGCTAATCCTTAGTAAAAATGTTTTAAACTTAATTATTTTAACTCACTTGTTTAGTTCTTTATAAAATTAAAGACAAAACTAATTCTTAGTAAAAATTGCATTAGTTTATTTATTTTAATGTTATAATTCATGATAAACTAAAATAACTTTCAATTGATTGCTTCGATTAAATTAATTTAGCAGCATTTTAATAGCACTTATAAATTAGTTATAATTGAAACTCAATTTAAATTTCAAAAATTAAAATATTATCAAAATTTGTAAATTTTGAAAATTTAAAATATGTAAATGACAAACATTAAAATGTATTAAAAGAAGAAAAAAATTACAAATTTTCAAAATTAAGTTGATAAGGCCCAAATATAATGCAAAATTAAAACAAAACTTCAATTGAACATTATTAGCAGCATTTTTACAGCATTTATAAATTATTTATAATTGAAACTCAATTTAAATTTCAAAAATTAAAATATTATTAAAATTTGAAAATTTTGAAAATTTCAAATGTATAAATGACAAACATTAAAATGTGTTAAAAGAAAACAAAATTACAAATTTTCAAAATTAAGTTGATAAGACCCAAATATAAAGCAAAATTAAAACAAAACTTCAATTGGAAATTATTATGCCAAACTATGCACAATATATATAGAGATAAAATGATAAACTGACCGCTTAACCCTCCTCCAACAACAATGACTTGGGACTCCATTTTTTGATTATTTTAAGCCTGAGCTCGAAAGAGAAGTAAAAACCTGAACGCTCGAATAAGCCAAGCGCTTATCTTTATTTAATGATGTCACAAGACCTGTTAATACGATAAGAAACGTCGTTAAGAGTGATGAAAATTGATGAAAACTCATTTTTCTTCGTAGTCGGGTTGTTTCAATTGACTTCAGCTTCTCATCCGAGATTTTCATCGCTTTATGAATTCGTGATTGATCAGATCTTGATCAGAGGTGCTTTCGCTTTGTTCTTTTTCATTTTGCAGATGTAGAGGAAAAGTGAATTAAGACGGGGTATCCAACATTAGGTTTGAATGCTTCGCACCGAATTATTTGAAGTTGTGCTTATAAAATTGAATAAAATTATTCATTGTTTATCAGAATGGAGAGTATTCTGGATTTTATATAACCACAATTCTGAATGCGTGATTTTAGAAATCTCGCCAAAGATGAAGTGAAATAAATAAACTAACTAATATTTGAGCTAGGATATAAACGTAATGGCGATCGAAAATTGAAAAATCTCTTTTAAGGTTGTGAATAAAAAAATATCAAAAACAGTTTGATTTATGAAGAAACAGAAAAAATTCGAAATGTAATTATTAAGTTTCATGCGTTATTCATAAAAGTTTAATCTTTTTAATCTCGTTTTCTTCAATAGTGATTCGTCTGGTTTTGACTGCGTTTTTGTTTTTTATTTTTTCCTAGCTGAAAGTTTATAAAAATACGTACTAAAAGAGGTGATTATGAAAACTGTATAATTTACAGAAAATCATTCTTACGTAGTTTTTTTTTTTTAATTATTGGCTGGAAAACTTAACCATCTGTTTACCAACCCTTATACTTACCTAGCAATCACTTTGATTTCCCTATACAGAATAGTTTGTTCTTTCAAAAACTAAATTTATACTATTAAAACATAATAATTTTTTTTTACCATTTTTGACTTTTTCTAAAGATATTTTACTTAATCACATTTTAAAGCTGCAACCTTCCCAGTTATATTTAAATATTTAGCATACATGTATGGATGCATAATGAGCTTAATTTATCTTTTTTAATTAATATTTATTTGTTTTTTCACACTTGTTTTAGATATATTTTTCAGATTTCGAATTAATTTTAAACAACACCTTTAACTTTTTAACGCGAAATTATATGAAACATATTTTTTGTATTATTTCCATTATTTCGTATTAACTTAGGTCAAAATAAGTGAAAAACATTATTTGTAGTATTTTAATAACTTGTGGTTAAAAAATACAGCATGAAACACCAATGTTTTTTTCTACGTTAAAGGTAAAATATTCCAAATAATAATTTATAATTTTTTTGCTGTTATTTAGACCTAAGAGAAACAGTTACTCATTGTTCAATTTTTTTTTAACTTACGAAATAAATTATTGATAAGAAGAAGAACACCACTTTGCCTTAAAATAGTCTTGTTAGTATTGACAAGTGGCATAAGACAACAACAACTATTGATAAATATTTTAATATAGATGAGAAAATTTTTCACAAACTGCTTTTTTTGGATTTTGTATTAGTACAAATATAATTTCAGCAATCTAACAATTTTTTTATTAATTATTAGACTGTTTTTATAAAACTATTATAAAATAATTATAAAATTATTATTATAATTACAAGCAAAATATGTTTTTGCTCGTAATTGTATTGCTCGTAATTGTAATTGCAGAAAAAATGTATTAAAGAGACACCTTTGTCCCATTTGCTTCAAAGGGTTAAGTTCCCTTCATCTAATAAAAGAGACTTAAAATTCATAAGTGTTTAAAGTCACCTCCATTCAAGTTGATCTTTTTAACGATTTTCCAAATTTTTAAAACGTTTTCATTTACCTTTTCCACTTAAATATTAATTTTCAAACCCTAGTGCGTATTTATTTTATGTGACTTTACATGTGACAAGAAACCGACGGAAGCATAATTAATGCCTAGTGTAAACTTTAGAACACTTTGTATCTTTACAAGAACTTTATCAATATTTTTAGTGCCATGAACCCCAAAATATTGTACGATTTCCTCAAAAAATTTCAAATTTTAACACGTCTACTTGCAAAATTCTTTCTATAATAAGGAAAAGAAGGGAACCTGAGAAAAATTTTTAAATTTTGATTTTAAGAAAAGCATTTCTGGTTCTATTATTTTATCAAAATTGATTTAGTATGCATTTCTACTTCGAATAAAAATTATTCCAAAGATATATTTTACTGTTGCAATTTTCAAAATAATATCTTTATTTAGTGATTCATAATATGATGTGATTCACGAGCAATTAAACGATACTATACTCTGTGTAAATAAATAGGTGTCTTAAGGTATCTCTATTTCCCCAATGCGTTAGATGACCTTGAGACACCTATTTACACAGAGTATAATCCGCTACCTATACATAGACTATGTCAGAAGGCAAGAAATTGTTCTTCTTTTAATTCTAAGATACGTCATCTTCATGCCTAGATATCAGTTCTTTTGCGTCTCTTTTCCCACCATCTCGGATTTTAGGTTTGGTTTTCAATTTCTGTTTTTATGATGTTTTTAGCCCTTAATAAACTTATAATGATACTGTATCATTCGGCGCGATTAATATAAGTTTCTTACAAAGAAAATGACAATTATTAGATTAGGTGAAAGAACGTTTAATAATTTTAAGAATTTCTATAAATTTCCTTTTTAAATATTAACTAAAAAAATTATTTGATTAGTCATTTAATACTACATATTTCACCGTTTTTTTACATGCATATATATTTTTAAATTTTAATTTTACTCTTGTTTCAACTGATGAAACCAATTTGGATTATGCTTAAAAAATTTTTGAACGTAAATTATGCTAAAATAAAGGTATCTGTAGAAAATCTAAACACAGATAAATTTATAATACAAAACTGCATTTCAAAAAATGCTGATTAAGCTTTATATTGGTATAATTTTGTCAGGAAAAAAAGTGAATTAGAATTCTAAAATAACAACAGCTATAAATTTTCTCCATCTAATTGTGTGATTATCTTATTTTTTACATGTTGCTAAAGATAACGCCGAGTAGAGTGTATAATCATTACCAACTGTTTGGTTGAGAATTAAGTAAAAGCAATTCGAAGTTTATTTAGAAATTTTCTCCTCCGTCCATTTACTTTTGACAGTTCAGCATAACCGAGAGAAATGAGACCTTTTAAGTCACATTTAAAATTTTAAATTGATAATAATGAGTTGCATTGCGTTGAACGTAACATTTAAAGTTAATATGTGACAATCATATTGCTCGTAACTATCACACCGTTTAAATTTCAAAAAGATAACACGCTATATTTGCGTTTAGTAATAACATTTTAAATCTTAAAGAAACAATAACTCACTTTATAGTGCTTAATTATTATAACATTTAAAGTTTCGAAGAAACAATAATGCTTTGCATTTGCGTTCAATTTTTACGGTGCGTGGTGCGATGCACTAATGTTCTTCCAGCCTAAATACTGCATGTTCCTAACAGTTTCATAAAGTTTCAAAGAAGCAGTAACGTGTTATATTTGTGCTTAATTACATTAGCATTTATAGTATCAAAGAGACAATTACTCGCTATATTTCTGCTTAATTACATTAACATTCATAGTATGAAATAGACAATAACGCGTTACATTGCTCTTAACTATAGTAACATTTAAAGTTTCAAAGAAACAATAACGCGTGATATTTGCGTTTAATGTATCATTTTAAATATCAAAGAGATAATAACGCATTATATCGTGAATTATCATAACATTTAAAACTTCAAAGAAGCAATAATGCGCTACATTGCGTTTATTTCTTACGGCAATGCGGTACGATGCAATGATGTCCTCGCAGTGACAACACTGTTTGTCTCTAACAGTTCCATTTAAATCATCATCATCGTAATAGTACTAAACATTAAGCAACATGTTTTTAAATAATAAAAAAACAATTCGAAGTTTATCTAGAATTTCCTCTGTTCCTTTTGACATTTGAGCTCAACTAGGAGGAATGATGACATTTGAGTTACTTTTAAATCAACAATACGCGCTACATCGCGTTTAATTATCATAACATTTAATGTCTCAACGAAACGATAACACGCAATATTTGAGATTCATCATAACAATTTAAGTATGAAAGAGGTAATAACGCATTAAATGTCGCTTAATTATCATAACATTTAAAGTTTTAAAGGAGCTATAATGCGCTATATTGCGTTCATTTCTTACAGCAATGCAGTGCGATGCAATGATGTCTTTGAATGAAGGCACTAGACTATGTGTCCCTAACAATTCCATTTATATCATTATCATCCTTACAGCTCTAAACATTAAGTAACGTGCTTTAAAACATGAGCGACATTTTAATGCTTTTTTTTAATTTCAAACAATCAAAAGCCTAACATTTTAAAAATTTGATTTAAAAAATTCAATTACACAATACACACATGCGTAACCTAAAAATGAAAATATTTTTAAACTACAAACATAACAACTTGAAACAAATATTACCTAAAATAGAAGAAATATTTACTCTGTTCTTTTTCTGTTTCGGTTTTTGAGATAAGATAACTTCAATTGCCCTGTTTACTGAAATCACATCAGTAGATTTCTTTATCGGCAGGGAAATGCTGTGTCATTTCGTTGTTGTTAGAGAAATTTTGTTTAGCGTTTGTCGTAAGTTAAGCGTAACGCTATCATTATTTTCTATTCCGTAAAAATACTGTGGTTAGAATGCACCTGCTTTGACGCTCAAATAATGTAAGCGGAGAATTAAAACGATATGCAAATAAGAGCGAAAAAAATTGTGAACTATTTTTATAAATATGGAAAAATATTTTATTTTTAATAAATTCAACAGGAAATATTTTTTTATAAACAAAGAAAACTAATTTAAAGCTCATTGAAACAGGACAAAAAGCCACTCTTTAGATATTTTGGATTTTTCAATACACTAAATGTCACTAACACCATAGCAGACAATGCTATTATGTAGGCGATGCTAGGCCCGGTTTCAGAATATTCACTTGATACCACACCCTGTGATTGTGATACCACACCCTGAAAAATACAATAAAAATTACATAATTTGAAACAGAATTTACTTTATTAACTATGCGAAAAAGTCAAAGAAATTGTTAAAAAAAATTACTTAATTTCGGTTATAATTTCTCATCAACATTTTATATGTAGACATTTTGGACTTTTTAACTATAGGTAACGGAAACAAATAGATTTCCGTACCGATGCCTGCGCCAAAATAATCGCCAAGTTTTGGCTACTTCTGCGAGCAGTAAAATGTAAGAAACAAAAAAGAAAGAAAAACTATTACAAGACAGAGCAACAAGGAGAGCAACTTAAAGAGTATACTTCGAAGAGTAATTTTCTTAAAAATGTTAATTTTTTAATAAAATTACTTACTTGTTACTTTTTTAAAAAAATAAACCATTTGGTATTAAAACGATTATAGTTGACGTGAACAATCGCTACGGAAACATCCCTACGAAAATGCTTCTCATTGGATAATTTTGCATTTTATAATAGTTGTATACTCCAGTACAAAGAACTTTTGATGCTTTTTTAAAATAAAGTTCAAAAATATGCAGCATGTACACCCTGTGAAAGCTTTGATTTAAAAAAAAAATATCATTCAATTTACATACATTATGATTTTTTACAATTTGATTTACATGCATTTCAATGCATGGAAATTAAATTTGGAACTAAGAATTTTTCTAGATGCATAATTAAAAACTCCAATATATAGAGACACAAAGGCTTTAACTCCTTTATTCTTACAAGAACTCGCAGCATGTAAAAAAAAAACAAAGAAAAAACTTAGAAATAAGAAGAAAAAAAAGCTTAATAACAATGTAAGTAAAAATTGAAACAGTATACCAAAATTAAAAGAAAAATTTAATCTGGATCAATTTTAGACTGATCTACATTGAAAAAATTATATTTGTGCAAATATAAATCATAACTAAAACTGAATATTTTTTTTTCCAATGCCCACCTGTGTTAACATCCGTCAATTCAGGCATTTACATGGCAGATTTGTTGGCCTCTCTTTCAGGGGCACCATATTAGGTGGGCCAACGTTGCTCCCACAGTTAGGACAGATAGTGCAGAGAAGGAAAGAACATCCATGCCTTGCGCGGGACTCGAACCCAGAACCTTTCTGATGCAAGGGCAGTTCCCTAACCCCTACACAGGCCAATCGGCTATAAGAACTAAATAAAAGCTCTAAATAATTATATAACGTGCGTAAATTAGTAAGCATAATTATATCAAAAATATAAGACAGTTTGTTTTTCATGAATTGCTCAGTTTTAACCTTTTATTTCTGCCCTACTTTTCACTCAATTTGTTTCAGCAACCAATGCCAGAAAATAAATATCATTTTTTTTGACAATATGCACATTGGGTGTTTTATATAATATAGATGGGAATACTAATGTCGTTCGAAAATATATAGTTGGAATTAGACAACCTGTTAAAGAAATAATTTTAACCATGAAAACCTCTCAGTAAAATTATATTATGTTTATCAAAACATTACGTGTCTTTATTTAGACTCTATGGGTATATCAAACCATGGTTGGTGATCAATTGTTAAGCCTTGATACACAAAAATTAGCTCTAAAAGTTTCATGACTTAATCATAGTAAGTAATTATATTTAATTTATATCTTATATCATAATAATATCTTCAGTACTTCTTTAGTTCAGTATAGAACGAATAAAAAAAGGATTTTATTGAAATAAATATCGTTTAAAATATAATATAAAACGAGAAAAAGAATATTTTAAATGATAAGAATATTTTTAACAGGAATGAAATTATAAGATTAAGAAGAAGAATATTTTGTAAGAATATAATTATAAGAGTCACATTATTATGCAGTAAGAATATTTTTCATTTAATAATTATTTAAGTCATGAAATTAAACTAAATTTGATGATTATGTGAGAAAAGTCATAATAAACGTTGGTATTACTTTTGAAAAAGAAAAATTAAAAACAAAAGCACTCATTTTCTAGGATTATTGGATAAGATATTACATGATTTGGATCAGCATTCTCAAGTGTAAAAAAACTTTCCATTGTAAGTCCAATAGTTTGTTTTTATTATGAATATCATAATTTTGTTGTAAATATATAATCTCTCGAAGAGCGATAGAGTGCATTCCACATGAGCCTTGCAATACAAATATATCTAAACTTGAATATGACCTTCCTCCTTTTCAAAGCAGAAAAACTCTCGCCATTGTAAAATAGATTTTTAATAGAATTAAGGCCCCATAAAGGCACAGAATGGGAGACTATATCCGGAATGGAAGCCCTTTAAACAATTAAATAGACTATACCCTCTCCACTTCACGTCTTCGTAGAAAATCAGCCCTGTTCCTAGGAACCAATATCCTAACACTCATGCACCGCCCCCAGGAAACACGTCCAACTTCTGCATGTCAAACTCAACATACTTCATAAAATCAGTAACCATTGAAATAATCGCTTCAGACGATGATTCAAAAATAAAGAATTTGGAAATTAGATGGAAACCTGTTTGAGAAAAGGTCATCAGGTAGTGGTGCCATTATAGTAGATAATAATAAAATTAAAAAAATCAAAATAAAAAATATTTTACACTTGCCAGCTTTCCGAACGGCACTTATTTCTATAAGATATCTCTGAAACTGCCCCCTTCATAGTAATTTTTTACATTGATCCTGAATAAGCATGTTTATTCGTTTTGATACAATTCATTAAAGTACAGGCTGCCATATAATCAATTTTCGTTACTTCTAGTTTTTGGGTAGATCCCTTCACACATTGGAAACGAAAGACATTGGAAACCAGGAAATGAAAGCGCTCACGGCTTCTCGAAATCTGGAGACGAAGATCTATCTGGAACTAAAGATAATATAACTACTCTCTCTGAAAATCATCATTCTATTTCCAACACCAAGCTCCTGCTCATCATTAGTATGCCAGCAATTCTGCTGATGAACTTTTAAAATTTGGCGTCTTAACAATGGTTTGCAAACTGGTCACCAACAGGCTCAAGCTTCAACATCCCTGCATTTCCGGGGCACATCCTGGACTACCTCAACAATACTGTGGAAGACCTATTCCTAAAATCATCAATGGTAGCCTCAAAGTTAATGGAACATTTGCATAATTTATAGGACCTGGTTTAGAACTAATCTAAATCACAGAGATAACTCCACCACCCACCATAAACCTATATCGTATCTTCCTTTTCTAAGTATATGTAGTTCGAGGGCGTGCCAAATAAAAGTGGCTAACCCACACTGCGCAATGATGATTCGGTCCATTAGGCGCATAAACAGAGTACACAGGCTTTTCTCGCTTACGATAAGGACGAAGGTATCAGTTAGGTTAGGTATCAGTTACATACATCTTAAATCAGCAACCGAAGGAGTTTTAAGGAGGCGTCTCATTAGTCAATGAGAAAAATGTCTAAATGCTTATGGAGACAACTTTAAAATAAAATACTCCGTTTGTCATATATTCATATTGGCTAACTCGTAATAATAATTGCAATTACTTACTATTGTAAGTATGCTTACAGCAGTAATTTACTTCTGTAAGTTCTATAATGAACCTTCTTAATGCATTTTTTAGCCTTATCAAAATTGAAGACATAAAAATACACACATTTGGAGACGCTACTTAATAACACACGAAGGAGGAAACAAAAACGCTATCAAAATCTAATGAATTACCACTGAGGAAGGTGGCTTTGAAGTATCTTCATCGGGCAATCAAAGTAGTTTTGAACTTTTTAATTCCGACTTCCTCACTAGTAAAACAACAGATTTTGAGAGAGTTTTCTTCTTCGCTTAATTATTAACATGCGACCCCTTACGTATTTTTTAATTCCCTTTTGACGAGTTTTCTAAACTAAGTATTAAGAGTGGTCATTACGGAACATCATGTGTATAATAACTTACTGTTGATTCCAGAGCAGGCTGAAATATTTTGTCCCGAGTTATCCTCCCCATGACATATAGAACTTCTCGAGCAGCCCTCTCACCCGCTTCGATTGCACCTTCCATATATCCACACCATTCTACAGCAGTTTCTGTTCCGGCATAAAACAGCCTATCGATTGGTTCACGTATTGTTCTGAAAATAAATGTATTTTTAACAACAGTTGTTATTGACTAAACATTGCTTTTAAGTTTTTGACCGTCCATATCAGAGAATTCGATGGTCCTAGAAAAATTGGATGAATACTTAATCATAACTACAATACCACAGAATACTGACAATTTAAAAACAATCTATTATTTAGTCAATTTCTGTAGCTAAACGAAAAATTAAAATTATCCACGAGCATTATCTTAGATGTTGCAGAACTTTCCATTTATTTTTTAGTCAATGAATTATGTCCTGTTTTCTTTCCAAAAAACAATGATAAAATGTGCATCATAACAAAAGGGATGAAACAAAAAAAAATTTGGTATAAAAAGTTTTTTCAGTAGTTGCATAAAAAAAACTTTTTTTCATAAGATAATTAAAACTATTAAATTTTTAATATATTTCCTTTCCAAAAATAACATGTGTAACTAATAAAAAGCTACATTGTTATTTATATAAGGTAGAACAACTGACTATCCTTACGTCTTATTTTAATAGGTAACGTCAATAACAAACAATAATCAGTTTCAAACAATCATCGATGTTGAAATATTTAAAACATGACCTACAGCAAGAGTAAAAAATCAAAAACAAAAAGAAAGCTTTATAAATTGATTCAATTATTACTCAGAAACAAAATTCAATTAAAGCATACTGTGTTACCCTTAATTGTTTTAATATTGTACGTTTTCTTTAATAATGATATTTTATTCCAATTTTCTATCATAAATTTTAACTCACCTTCCATAGCGGGTAAGATATCCTGGCGGACACAACGCTAAGTAGCATCCTCCAGAATATTGCTCCTCCATCCAATTTTTTTCCTCATAATGAATTGGCTAAAATATATCATGGGATAAAATAATTTATTACTTTATAAAACTAAATTATTATGTCAAATAAGTAGATATAGTTCATTTTTCTGTATTGGCATATCAAAAAACAAAGCATTCCTGCAACAGCTTGTTCAGAGCTAATAGGTTAAGGTTCTTCTATTTCGCGACCAAAGGCGTGATTGTAACAATGTGGTAGCATTGCAGATGCACCCTTTTCAGATAAGCTGCTACAAATCTATATGAATATGCGTGGCTTTCATGCTACCACTGTGGATTGAACCCCAGTCCTTTCAATGGCAGCTCAGTACCTTAACCAGTGATTTGTCATAGGTCATTAGCATACCAAACATGAAATTAAAACTTACGTTTAGAAATTCTTCACAATCCGTTGCTTCAGCAAGACTTCGAGCTAGAATGATTTTTCTTTCTTCCAAACTTAAATCAAGAAATGTACCTCGAAGCTTATCTGCAGAAATGAATCTAAGAAAAAGACAATAACTTAGCATAATTGAAAAGGTTAATATGAATATTTAAACACGCTTACATTGGAATAAATGACCCTATTTTAGCAAAACACTATACTTATTTCTTATCTACAAAATAGTCTTTTGAATAAATGAAGTGATTTAAGGTAACTATTTGAAAAATCACTCTAGTTGTCCATAGAATAACAAAAAATTAGTTGTTACAGATTAGTTACTTTTAGGTTGCATGCGTGCCCTTTTGTACAAAGCTAGGATTCTTAGAAAGACAAATGATATTTTCCTAGGGGAATTAAAGACAACGAAATCGAAACTAAAGATATAAGTGTTGGATAAATACATTTCAGAAACTTTTTATATCTAACGTTATAATTTTTACTTATGCTAAATCTAATACAACCTCGAGCATACCACTAATAGATCAGAAGTTACTAAAAGCTTTTATGCATAAATAGTATAGTGCATCGCTTTAAAATTAAGCAAAGTTAATCCTATGGATTTAAATCAAATATACCACACATGTTTATTTTTTTAGCTGTTACTGATTGATATATATTCACTCAAAAAATATCGATTTGTGGTTTAATGTTGATACTAATTGACTTTGACGGTCAAAGCCTAAGAAAAGAGCCTCTTTTCGAAGAAGTTTGAATGACTTTTGACCTTGAATGCAAATTTCTTCAAAAAGTATTTATGTCTTAAAAGTTAGTGTGATATTAGTAGAAGATAAAATATTGGTCAGTGTTGTAATTTACTCGTTTCATTTAGTTGCTACTCATTGATATGTTTATACAGAAATATACACCTTTGTGATGCAATATTGGTACTAGTAGATTTTGACTGTCCAATTCTAAGAAAATAGCTTCTTTTCGAGAATTTTTTGAATGACCTTTGACCTCCAATGCAAATTTCCATTGAAAACATTTATTTCTTAAGAGTTTAGAGTGAGAATAGTAGAACATAATATAACGGTCAGTGCTGTGATTCACTCGTTTTTTTCAAAAGTATTGCCACATGAAAATCGATGCTTTTTTTTTCAAAATTACAGACGATCAACTTTTTTTATACCCCCAAAAATTTAAGAAAAATATTTTTTTGCAAATGTAAAAGAAGCAGGTGTGAAATAGTTTTACATAAAGAATATATCCTGAAAATTTCAAAAGTATTGCCACATGAAAATCGATGCCTTTTTTTCAAAATTACAGACCATCAACTTTTTTATACCCCCAAAAATTTAAAAAAATGTTATTTTTTGCAAATATTATTTTTTTGCACAGGTGTGTAAGGTGTGTAATAGTTTTACATAACGAACATATCCTGAAAATTTCAAGAAAATAAAAAATGCTAAGTATCCAAACCTGCTTGATATGCTAGATTATTAAAAAAAAAAACGCCTATCAATTAAAATGTCGGCTGTCACACATCTGGTAACGCCTTCTTTCCCTCTCGCCACAAACTGTCACAATTTTACAAGCCCCCTCCCTAACCTCTAAGCGTGGCATTATTTTTTAACGGTCCCTTTCCTGTTAAAATTTAGCAATATCTATGACAAAAAATAAAAATCTCAAAAATCATCACTATACACACATAAACTATTTTTTATAAATCTAACGTTTCTGAATAGAACTCAATTCCGATTGCAATTGCAAGCACTATAAATGGAATAGAATATTTCAAGGAACACAGCGTCTGCTTGTAACAAATGAATGCCCACAATTTCTGTTCTGCTATTCATGAACTGCTAATTATATTACTGCCTTCATATATATAGTTAATATATATAGTTAAATATATATAATTGAATATATATCACAATATACACCGAAGAGCCATTACATTATGACCACCCTCCATCTACAACAATGGGCTCGCCCAGGTTTTCATGGTTTCTCGCCCAGGAACAATGTTTTCATGGGGCACATTAGGACCCATAATCCTCATAGAACAATCCCTGACGTCTGTAAGCTACTTGAACATAGTTGCAGACCAGGTTCACCCATTCATGGCAACAGTTTTTCCTGCGGGGGATGGTGTTTACCAACAGGATAATGCACCATGTCATAAGGGTCGAATCGTCATGGATTGGTTCGAGGAACATTCCAGTGACTTTCAAGTCATGTCTTGGCCCCCAAATTCACCTGACCTTAATCCAATAGACTATTTGTGGTTCTAATTAGAAAACCAAATTCGTGCTGCCAAGCTACCTCCTCGCAATGTGAGGGAATTGCAGGACCAGTTGGTGAGCGCTTGGTACCAGATACCTCAGACTACCTATCAACACTTTGTGGAATCAATGCTACGGCGGGTGCTAGCAGTTTTGAGGGCTAAAGGTGGTTCTACATGTTATTAGCAGGGTGGTCATAATGTAATGGCTCTTCGGTATGTATCGTATATTAATACATATCGTAAAATATATAGTTGACAGGTCATGAATTAAAGTTCTATTACAATCGAACTAGTGATCAGATTTCTTCAGTGTGTAATACTAACCTTCCCTAATTTCCCCGTAAAAGTTCTCCAAGAAGGCGAATTTATCTCGCTACTTAATTTCGAAAATCTCTCTCTTTTTGAGTCAGGTTATGTATTTAAACATTGAACTCTGTCACGTGAATTAACTGTTCAACATTTCTGTTAAATGAAATTAATTTCCCTAGTGATAACATCAATACGTTAAAGCAAACATGATTTAGAATGTTTTCAAACAGAAAAGAGGACTGCACCTAATCAGATAAAATTGCTTATAATAATAATAATACTTTAACATTAGCTTTGTTAAATCTTCGGAATGGAAATTTCGTAACTGGATATTCTTAGAGAGGAAAAAAGCATAATACTTTACCCAATAATAGCTGGATGACTACCATCTGGTTTACTATCATCAAACGTAAAACAAATAGGATGTTCCTTCCCGCCTTCGATCCAAAATGAACCACATAACCCTGAAACAAGCAAACAAAAAGAAATTTCTCGCTAGTTGAATTAATGAGACATAATACAATCTTAATTTCGTATGCAACCCTTTATCATCAGAGCGACGATATATTTTATCAAAAAATAGTGTCTAGGTAAGAGGATCTTAGTTACTCAATGATAATACCTTCAGAGACCTTTCATGGCTTTCATGTAAGATTATCGTTAAAATCAGGTAAGGTATTAAGAAATTAACTCATAAGACAAGCTTGTTGACACGTAAAACAAGTGTGTTTTGAAGAGCTATTTTCAACTATGAAACTTTATTGTCGTCACCTTATTTATAGCACAAGTTGTTCAACCGTGTAAGTCTCAACATTTATTGCAAATTAGTGTCCAAACACAATGGCGACTTACGCTTTTTAATTTCTGCATTAATGTGCACTATATGTCTGAGCACTAAATCAATGATACTCTACAATTAATTTACTCTTTTCTAGTATGGCTCATAATTCGAATTTGTCACCAGGTGGCAGGGTAACTTAAAACACTTTACGTGGGAGTAATGTATAATTGAACTAAAGTTGTCACCATTTTCTACCAATTTCATTACGCCCCCAATAAGAAAGCAAAACAAAGAAATTATACAAATATTGTAATATTAACCTTGATCTTAAAAATATCTTGTTAGATGTTTTAAAGATCAAGGATAATTTTCTACTACTCACCTCATCTAGATCCTAATACCTCGTCCAGATCGTGTTCAGTATTTTAAAATATGAGTAACGTATTAATCAAAAAAATAAACTATTGTATAAATAAAAAAATAATAACAATATCGTGTATTGTGTAACTCTCCACTACAAATCCATTCCCTACTACCTCAACTGCTTGCCGTAGCATTTCCTTAAACAAGGGTGAAAAGTGGTAGCAATAAACAACCATTATAATTTAAAATTATTCTAAGATCTTTCGCCAAACAAAATGAAAATGAGCCAGGAAACGAAAGGAGATAGAATGCCTGAAAGCTCCGAATTCTACTGGTGCTACGGTGGTGTAGTCGGTTAATGCATCTCTCACATGGCAGGTTGGAGACCTGGTGGTAACGAGTTCGATCCTGGCAACGGACAAAAGAAACCGTTCGCCTATACGTTAAATCTGTCATGGTTGAACGTCCCTTTGTTGATTGTGGTGTGAAAGTTTGTAGAGAGGAGTACCAATTCAGGCGCTGTTTATGTCGTCTGACCGAGGTCAAAATTCCATGACATTCCTGCCATGACCGTTAATCGATAGAAGAATTATCTGAGCTTTAAAACAAGCAGACTGCGGAAATATTTTTTAAAGAATGAAAATGGCCAGTTTGGCGAGATTTTTTTTCAAGAAAGTGAAAATTATTAAAGTTAATTGATGGCTTAAACTTTTTGCATATTTTTATGAGCTCAAAGTATACAACGTCCAAATAACAATTAAAAAATTAGATCCCTATCGTTTTTTATTTACTTAAAATTGTTACTTTTTGCTCCATTTTCTTTATAGTACATAGTGCGTTGGCTAAAAATACAGCGTTTATGAAAATATCATATTATTTGATAAAAAGCATTATTTCATACGATAGCAAAGCTTTCGAAAAGCATCCTTAAACCAAATTTGTTCAGAAATATAAATCCAGTTAAGATAATGTTATCCTTTTTAATCCCTTAATTAAAATAAGAATACAAAGAGCACCAAATAGATAAAAGCAATCCAAACACGCTATGTAATAATTTTAAAAAAGATAAATCAATTTAGCATAAGCTTACGATTTATGTAGTACTCGGAATGATTTGAAATTTAACATTCAGGATATAATATAAAAAGACATTTTAATGAATAAATAAGCTATACTTCCGATTTAAATTAGATTAAAATTGAAACATAACTTATCCAGAACGCTTACCTTCCATTTGAGAGATTCTTGATAATTCAAATTCTTTGTTAGAATTACCAACTAAATCTCAATATTGTAATTTTAAGCTCTCTTCACTTTGATATGCATGCACTGAAAAATTAAGCCAATTACCTTGAATTCTGAATAATCTCATACTTAGGTGCTTTGGAATATTGTTATATCCAGCTTTTGTATTGACAACCTAAAGTACCCTTCACATTCTACATCGAACCATTTCCGAATAATAACTGATATAATTCATTAATTTAGTTCTCGTTTTACACAGTGATTTCCCCACGGAATTGTGAGTAATAAACTTGACAGATATTAACTTCTGCTAGAATAAAAGGGATTTATTCAATACTTACCTTTATTACGCCAGAATGTTTGCGAATAATAGAGGATGGCTTTCATAACGGTTCCCATTGGCGTTCTTTGCATCAATTGGTTTCGCAAAGCTGGTAATTCTGGCGTGAAATGGATTTTCATTTGCATCATAGGAGGCAGTGCTAATACAATATACTTTGCCTAAAAGGTTAATACTTGTAAATTCAAAATCCTATGAAATCATTCTGTATACTACTTCATATAAATATTTGAATAAACGTTTATGTGATGTAACTTAATAACAATTACTTTAATTACAATTCACAAAAAATGATTATGAAAACAACTTATTAGATATTTACAAGGGAGTTTCTTAATTTGTTTTTACGAACAAATCATTAATTAGTTAAAAGAAGTAACTATAAAAGTTACTTTTTTAAATTGAATATTTAGGTATATTAGAGGATTGTTTCCAGTTATTGTTCTGAATGTTTGCATGGATTGTTTTGAATGTTTGGGAATAATAGTGGATGGCTTTCATAAAGGTACTCATTGGAGTACTCTGCATCAAATGGCTTTGCAAAGCTGGTAATTCTAGCGGGAAATGGATTTTCTTTTGCATCATAATAGGAGGCCAAACTAATGCAATACACATTACCTAAAAGGTTAATAGTTGTAAATTCAAAATTCTATATTCTGCATGCTACTGCGCATAGATATTTAAATAAACATTTATGAGCTGTAACGTAATTGGAATTACTTTAATTACAATTTCTAAAAAAACCTGATTATGATAACAACATATATATTTACTATGTAATTTTTTAATTTATTTTTACGAAGAAATCCATTAATTAATTTAAAGAAGCAACTTTGTAAGTTATTTTTGAGTGTTTGGAAAAAAATTGAGGACATTATTTATAACGGTTACTATTGCTGTTCTTTGCATCTATTGGTTTCACTAAGCTGGTAATTCTGGAGTAAAATGGATAACATCATACACATTTACATCATATGACGCAGTAAGAATACAATATACTTTTCCTGGTCGGAATAGCCTGGTTATCAGGGCACTGGGCCCATTTTCAAGAGTTCGTGAGCTCGATCCCAGCCGACCGAAGACTCCCTGTGTGACTGATTACTGAATGGTGACTGATGCAAGTTAAACCTGTCGAGTCGCAAAGTCCTCCATGTTCCCATAACAAATCAATACCTCTGGGGGTACTGATCCATGAGTTTCCTTGTCTTCTCGATTGGTTCAAAATTTTAAGGCTACGGAGTTGAGCATTAGCAGTCATAAACCGGCTTGCACTGACCACAATGCTGAAGTGAAATATCCTCAATCTATGGATCATGGGTCCAATTGCGGTCAGGCTAACCGAGGGAGGTTTTGTGGTCTTCCTCTCCATATAACGCAAAAGCGAGTTAGTTCATTCAAAAAATCCCCCGAGAAGGCAAATTTCTTCCAATCCTTGATCCAGGAGTTCCCTTGTCTTCTGGATTGGGTTCAAAATTACAAGGCTACGTAGTTGAATATTAGTAGTCGTAAACCCAAAAATGGAGTCGGTTGTTCAATGACGGTTATGAAAATAATAAAATATAAAATATACTTTTCCTAAAAAGTTAGTTGTTGTGAATTCGAAAACCTATTAAATCTTTCAGCCTATTACTTCGTATAAATATACAAATAAACATTTATGAGAAGCGACAAAGGAATAACCACAATTAATGATTGTGAAACCTTAGTAGGTATTTAAAACAAAATTTTAAAATTATGCTTTGAGTTTACTTTCCATACTAGTTAATACTAATTAAATAAAGATTAAATTAATCTATTAAATCAAAGCAACAGATGCTTTGAAAAATCTTTTTGGATTTCCTAAAAATCTTTAAGGATTTGGAAAATAAATGTTTGAAAATAGATCAGTCGGAATTGTCTAAAATGCAGAATCTACACTATTTTGTAGTATGTTCAACAGCGCCATCTGTTAATGAAATTTGTAACCAAAGTTAAAGAGTGAAGAGAACGAATTTTCTAGATTTCAACGCAGAATGGTTAGTGACCATACATTTCTATCTCATTCTATTTTTTTTAAATTATTTTTCATGTTGTCAGTTTCTTGGAACACTTGACATAAACAAAATATTTTACTTAAAAATCCAATTACCTCTATTTAATACAATAACATGTTCTAATCTGAGAACAAATTAACAGACAGCAGTGCAAATATTTAAAAAATAGATCAGTATGAATGACATGAAATGAAGCAGCTAGCTATTGTTATATCTCATTTTTATGTTTTATCTCATTTTGTTATATCTCATAAGAGAAAATTGTGTGAGAATATTTTTGACGTGACATTTTTTAAATGAATACAACAAACCATACATTTTTATCTCATTCCGTTTTCTTATATGAGTTTTCATTTTGTCAGTTGTTCAGAAGACTTGACATAAAGTATTTTAACTTTAAATTCTAAATAGGTTCAAAATCAATGAACAAACGCTTAAAGAGCAAGTAAAAATACATTGTAAATTGTTAATTTCTCGATTCGCCTTAAAGACTGATCTTTATTTTTAAACTTTAATATGCGATTTCATTTCAAATATTAAAAAAAAAGTTGAGTTGAAACTACGCTTTAGCATTTCAGAACTCTAACACAAAAGGTGCGTACCTTAGACTTATAAATACAGGTCCCATGTCTTAGAAATGCTCTAATTCTTAACTATGTCGTTTTTTTTCCAAACCCTGCTACTGTGTTAGCATTATAAAATCTTAAAACATAAGATTCCAACATGAGGTCTTTTGAGTCAATTTGTTTTCTTTTTCTGCTTTTTAATTTAGTTTCTTGGTATAGTTCGTATAGTTTCTAGCACGGTTTATTTTCATTACCTTCAGTACATCATAGCGCAAATTTTATATGCCCGGAGAAGGAAAAAGTAGAGTTTTTCTACACTGTAAAAAATTCCGGATCAAATTACGGTCGGCAAAAAAACACCGGCACTTAGAGTGCAGATTCTTTTTTCAGTAAGATCCATTTTTACAGGAACATTTCACGGAACAAAAAACCTGATACAGCATTATTTTTACGGTAGTAATTAACATAAAATTACTGAATCATTCTAGTAAAATAAATATTACTGTAAAAATAACAGTATAGTTTTTACGTTATAAAAGGATTTTACAGTAAAGTGAAGAATTATAGAAATAATGCTCCAAAATTGCCAGTACGTTATACCATATTTTCAACCAAAATTTTTAAGCAGTGTAATTGTATACAAATCTCACTGCATTAAAATTCAGTTTATAGAAATGAAAACTTGGGTACGAAGTAACTATTCAGATTTATTTTTAAACCTTCCTAAAACAACTGTAGAAATTTTAAACATAAACGATGAAATGGTGTCGCATACTGTCATACCGACTGCTATAGTGCAGCATACTGTCGTATATTTTATACGATACTCGAGAAGTGCTTGAATAAATAGTGCAGCACGAAATTGAGCATTGGAGTGAGTTTTCTATCTTATCGAACGACAGCGATAGAAATAATTTGAATACTACTGCTGCTGCCATCTATGCTAAAATGTTCCAAACTTATATTTATGGTGGTTTGTGTGATTTAATGGCTGCCGATTAGATTTTGAATTATTACTGCAATTCCATTCAATTCTAATAGAATTCAATTCAGGAACTTTAAGAATATCTCGGACATCTCTTGGAAATAGTGAAAATTGAAATCAAAGTACTTTCTTGCGTGCAAAGTGGCGAGCAACATCGAAATATTTGGTTAATATAATTGGTTAAAACTAATTAAGATTTTAGGATTAGAAGGAGTGGTTAAAGATTTAGGAACATATAAATGCAAAAGTTCGCTGCATTTGAATGAGTCAAACATTTAAGTTTATGTGCTGTAAAAGATAACTGTGAAAAGTGACCAAGCTGATTGTCCAACAGATTTATATTTTCTGCATTAAACAAATAAACTATGATTATTTATCAAAAATTTCCCTATGTATAATGCTATATTTTTAGTAATGCTTAGCATTCAAAAAAGCAGTTTTTTAGTGTGTTTTACCTTGTATTCTTTACCAGTCAATGTTTTCACCAAAACAGAGTTTTTGGAGCTTTGATCGATTCCAATAACTGGGCTGTTTTTGATAACAGAATCTGAAAAATAAAATTAAAGTTTAAAACAATTTTAAACTATTATTATTATTAAACATCGTGCATTTTTCGTTGGTCTACCATTATTGTTCACTAAGATTTTTCTAAAACAAACGTATGTATTCATTCACGTTACAAGTAATTGCGTATTGTTTATCACAAATAAAATCAATTACGAACTAAAACAAACTAATAAAAGTGGTGTTACATTGTATTAAAAGAACTCATAATCGAAACAGTTATTTCATTCTATTTTATTGCTCACGTTTAATGGAACACTTTGTATTCGGAAACATTTTCGCTTAAGAATGAAGATTTATTCATTTATTTAACTCGCTAATGTTATTTTTAGAATAATGTAATAGAATTTGATAAACAAAAATTATTAAAAAAACATACTCATTAATTTTTTAGTAAATTGTCTAAATAGCATATTAATCAGACATTCTCATTTCAAAGAAAAGATGCCACAAGAGCGTCTTTAATAAAATATTTTTCTTGTAATTTTTTAGTAAGCAATTCATTAGAAAATTAAACTAAATGAAGAATGCACAAATTTTAGTTTGAAAATTTAACAACAAATAACATTTTGAACTCTTAAATTTTTGCTGATACATCCTAATAAAAATTTATTAATGATATAATATGTAAAATTTACAAATAAAACTTTTGCACTTTAAGTAACGAAATATTGGTTTAAAAACTTCTTTTACATATAAATTGAACTTTTCCTTTTATTTTGCTTGAGTATTTTTGATAATTTTCTTGACTAAATTTCATCATTTTTATCGACTTTAGAAGCAGGGACTATTTTTCATCGAAAACTTATTTTAAATTTAATAAAAGCTATACTAAATATATAAGCTATACTTTTAATATATAAGCTACACTTTTAATATATAATATTTTAAAATATATAAGCTATACTTTCTTTTTGTCTTTTAAAGTTTGTTGTATGCTTTTAATACAACAAACTTTAAAAGACAAAAAAAAGGCTTGACAAAAAAATTTTAACATCTAACTTTTACTTAAATCTACACATTTATATATTTGTATACAATATTTTCCTTAACAACATATACCTAGATTGAAGAATGAATGGGATTATTTTTAACATTTCGTATGTATAAAGCTGTTTCCGATGCGCTGCTTATAATGCCGCGTGAATTGCTAACTTTTATTTAACTGAATTTTATTGAAATTTTTTAGCATAACACACAACATACCTCTTAATTTTTATGTCTACACATTTATTAGCTTGCTTTCAGGTACTAGACTCAAAATATAAATGGAATCCTTTAACTGATGACGACAAAGTTCAAGTCATTCTCTGACCACTACAAGCTGACTTAAAACCGATATTATCGCCTCAGTGAATTTATCGCCAATAAGAATTCTGACAGCGATTTGTTTAACAATGGCAGCCAAATTTTAATTGAAATAATAAGGTTTGATAATAAGATAAGTTTCAATTGTTTTCTAACCACTACAAATAAAGTTTAGGGCGACATTAGCACCGAAGACATTTTTTCATAATAAATAATTCCTACAACTTTAACCGACTAGCTAGAGTGCTCAAATTTCAACTGGTTCTCTTAACCTAATGCTGGCAATTTCCAGTAGCTTTAAAATAGGGTAAACATCATTTGTTTTAAATTTATCTACAATCAAAATTTTGGCAATCTGACGTAAATAAAGTAATAGAGAAAAAACTAAAAGGAAGAAAATAATAAAAGAAACTAAAATTTTAAGAACCACATTTTTTCATATGGGCAAAAATTACGAAATTGATTCTATTTTATCACACTTAGACAAAAAAACCGAAGGGTGCTTAACCTTTTTGATGAACTTCTATAATTTCTGAAAAATCTCCAAGCATTTTTCGAAAATGACTGTCTTTCGTGTGACAGAAAGTACTTTAAGAAAAACTTTTGAATGGAAGCTATAAATTTTCTAGATGTTTATTTTCTTTGTTATTCAATCTTTATGGATGTTTTTATTCTTAAAAAATGGAAAATTACTTCTTAATCTTTCAGCAATTTTATTACAGATTTGTTGTGCACCTCCTTTGAATTTTCGCCTCTGAAAAAAAAATCAGAAGAGAACATTTAAAAATTTGCATACGATAAATTCAGTGGTTTGAAATCAGGGCTAAAGAGAATAAGTTCACTCCGCTCTTAGAGCTGATGCTACGATTTCCCTCCTCATGACGTCACTGTGTCCACAGATCTCGGANAAAAAAAAATCAGAAGAGAACATTTAAAAATTTGCATACGATAAATTTAGTGGTTTGAAATTATATTCATATGCATATAACAATTATTTTCTAACTAAATATTAGGCTGATTGCTCGTTTTATGTTGAAACTTAACTAACATATAACACTAAAACTTCATTAAAATATGAAACACATCAGTTAATTTTTTTTTCTTAAATTATATTTTGATTCTTTGCATTTTTACAGTGTGACTTCCAAAAACAGCTCTGAAAGTATAAATATATGGTGACTCTTCTTCTTCCACAGCTCTACAGCCCTTGGTGAGCCCAGGCTTGTTCCATCATTCTATTCCATACAACTCTCTGATTAGACTTCTGCCTACACCTATGGATCATCATTTCCAAATAGTCAAGCACGTCGTCCTTGGGTGGCCTCTAGGCCTGGTTCCCATAGGTTACCAGTTGATGATCTATTTAAGCAGCAATTATTGTCTCTCCTCTCTATGTGTCAATGAGAGGCGCAGGGATTTGATAAAGCCAACAAATTTTTCCCTTTATGATGTTCTCAATTTCTAGGTTGTTGTTTTTTTTAATTATTATTAATAATTTTTTTTTCATATATGCGCATGCTTCAGAGAAAAAAATATTTTTTCTCCTATTTTATGAATTTAAATGGTTACAGTTCAAAAAAATTACTTTTATTTCTGTCAACCAGTCACCAAGAGCAGCGATGGCTCAGGGGATAGAGCGTTCGCCTTCCAATAAGGCGAACCGGGTTCAAATCCCAGTCGATACGAATTCCGCATCCGGCGTTCACCGACCACAGTGCTGACGTGATTTTTTTCTTACCAGTGGTAGACGGATCATGGGTTAGAGTCCCCTTGCAGTCAGGCTAATCGTGGGATGTTCTCGTGGTTTTCCTCTCCATGTAACGCAAATGCGGATTAGCTCCATCACAAAGTCCTCCACGAAGGCAAATTTCACCTAATACTCGATTCAGGAGTTCCCTTGTCTTCTGGATTGGGTTCAAAATTACAAGGCTGCGGAGTTGAACATTAGCAGTCATAAACCCATAAAATTGGATCGCCTGTTCAACGACGGTTATAAAGTATTAAAAAAGCAGTCACCAACAGACAATCTTTTGTTTTCAAAAAAATCTCTACTGGCTTTTTAAAAATCATATTTAATATGCTGGGTGCAAAATAAAAAATAAAAAAAAGAAAATTTCATAATAACTTAGGGATTAAAATTTTTTGGATCACAAAAGAGGCAATCTTAATGATTCAAGGTCCTGATCTTAAATGTGGTAAATATCTAGATATATTTAAAATAACTAATAAAATTTAATTGTTTAAAATAGTTAAAGAGGCATGAAGAAAAAGTCATGCAAGAAGTCAAATTAACATTAAGAGGCCTAAACTTTCTAAAACTTTTAAAAAGTCTCCTCCTTACACTATTTGGACCATACTTTACAGATGAAGGCTACCCCTACATTTTGAAGGTCAAAACTTCAAACCCGTCAAAGAAAAGGCATGTTAATTCAGAAGAAAGTACGTTTTCATCTCTTATTTTCTGACTTAAAATATCGTCTGCAAAAATTAATTAAGCCTATTTTAGCGAGTTCTTCAAATCCTGAAGTTTGCATTTCATTTCTTAATCCAATCATTAGAATAATAGTTTTCAAGGTGTTCCTAATTTTTTCAATTTGCGCAACTCAAGTATTTTTTTTTCTTTTTTCGTAGTATTTATAAGAAAAACTTTCGAAAGCCATTTAAAGACGAATACAATTATTAAAATACTTTTAAACCTACCTGTCCTCCGTCTGATGAAGAAAAAACATTTTTGCATCCTCCACAAAGTTTGATGTACCACAGAAAGCTTAGCAGAGAGGCCTCGTAGCTTTCTGAGGTAATAAGTGCGTTTACGACATTATTAAAGAACTTGACGCAGCTCCTGAAAAATTATTAATCCTCATGATAATTTATGACAATCAAGTGAGATTAGTATTTGTTTTCCGTTGTTCTCTGAGAAACAAGTAAACCTAATTTTAATTTACAAACAAATGATCATTTCAGTAATATTCTGATACAAGAATGTTTCTTGAAAACTTATCTAGAAGTGTGAAAAATTTCATATTCTGTTTTTTTCTAATAGATTTTGAGAATGAGGATCGTGCTCGGCCCGGACGACGCCTGCTGTAGCCTTTTTTGAAGTTATCCTTCTTATGCGTTAAACGTTTAACGCTACATTTTTATTGGCCGGGAAATCCCGTGGTAGGATCCAGTTTTCCCTCATTCATTTCCATATTGTTTTGGTTCTCACTAGCATGAAAATAATAAAAGTATTTTGTTTTGATACACATATAATTTAATAGGATAGTATTTTTTATTTTCAAATTTAGAGGATAACAATTGTAAGAAATGAGTGAAAACAATCCCACGGACAATGTGACGGATTTAAGGTTATGTCAAGGTACGTCTCTTGTGAATATCGATTGTTATGCTTTCTCTTCTGAAATTACATTATGACGAATTCACATACATTATTAATACAAATACATTATCCATGGCGAGACGACGAGGCAACCACAAGCACTTCCACTGATTCAAGAGGTCCACGAGGGAAAAATGCACAATATTACCGTGATTACAGAATTACAGAGCACGGAAGCGAGCGGCGCAGGAAAAAGAATAGAACTAGTGATCCTTCTACGACTGCTGATTCTTCTACAATTAACGTCGCAGGTTGCGAAGTTTAACTTCTTCCGCGCGGAGGGACTCCACGCACTATTTTCTTTTTTAATATAGAGGTAGCCGCGATGGCTCAGGGGATAGAGTGTTCGCCGTCCAATAAGGTGAACCGGGTTCGAATCCCAACGATGGGTGGTCAATACGAAACCCGCATCCGGCTTGCGCTGACCACAGTACTAGTGTGAAATATCCTCAGTGGTAGACGGAACATGGTATAGAGTCCACTTGCCGTCAAGCTAACGGTGGGAGGTTTTCCTCTAAATGTAACGCAATTGCGGGTAAGTTCCATCAGAAAATTGTCCACGAATGCAAATTTCAGCCAATAGTTGATCCAGGAGTTCCCTTGTCTTCTGGATTGGGTTTAAAATTATAAGGCTACATTTTATTCCAGTTCATTAAAATTACAGGAATTACAAGACTACATGTGTTGCCGTAAATCTAAAATTGGGTCGGCTGTTCAACGACGATTATAAAATATCAAGAGATATTTATAATTTATGTGAAGCCTAAGTTCTGTATATTTCGCCCCTTTATTGCTAAATTCGTTTTTTAGCATAAAAAACTAAAAAAAAGGGTTTAATTTTAGTACACTAAAAAAAGATTGAATTTCTGTACTCTAAAAAAAGGTTAGTTTCGACACAGTAATTAAAGGTAAAAATTTAAATCATCCGCTATTTTTTTTTTACCATATATTTGTCACATATAGCGCGAGCTGGCAACTTTTTACACTTATTTATGCAACTCACTCATGCAAAAATAATTTCTTGCATAAGATATATTTTATAGTTACTATTTATATTATTATATCTGGTTTTATTATTTCTTTTTAATTATTTAATATATATAACTCTTACTTAAGGTTGATTCCCATTCAAAATCAAAACTTTAATTAAATCTTCTAAACAAATTTTCTTTTATGTATGTTTTAATTATAATCAAACTTTGTCGGACGTTATTTGGTAAGGCGTAACTGTTAACTGTTTGGTAAGGCGTAACATAAGCAGTAATATTTTATATAAAGTAACGTTATTTTCGATTTAAAAATAAAATTTATAGTAAATACGCAATAATCTTCTATACAATCTTTGATTATTATAAAAATAATTTTTCATTGTATTATTTGATAAGGCGTAACGTTATTTTCTACACAAACCATATTTGAAGTCTTCTAAACAATTCTCTGAAAGTTTAGGATTTAAAAAAAAAATATTTTTGCTAGTTCTGAATAACATAAATTTATTAAATATAAAAAAATTTTAATTAAGTTCAAAACTAATAAAAATTCCTATGGTAAAAGAATGATTATTAAATGTGTAAAATAAAGTGACAGTACTTTGTCCAGCAATTTTTTTCCAAAAACACTTTAAAAGTCAATGTATCCCATTCATCGGCATGGGGAGCTTTCCAAGGAGCATCGACAGGTATCTAGCAAAGAAACAATGAAATAACAATATAAAGATAACGTGAAAATTATTTACAACATATGATTTTCAGTAATAACGACTTTTTGAGGGAATTCCCCATCGACTACAGGGAGTATAGTTAAATTCTTAAACACCTAAACGTAATTTAATTGTTTCAAAGCCTTCATTTTGGGGCAAAAAAATTACTTATAAAATAACTTTATTATAAACACAGCCTATATATGTAAACTGACAAAGTATTTTATTTTTAAGTAAATAAAATTCAATGTCAATTGATTTTTCATATGGATATGGATATCCATCTGGAAACTACATGTTAATTCAGTCTAATAAACGATATGAATTCTCTATCCAACATTTAACAGTTAAAGTTTGAGTTAAGAATTGCCTTAAGTGTGAAGTAGGCGCTGATATGCTGTTTGTGGCACATTAGGAGCACTTGTCAATTGTGCAAGACTCAAATATTTAAGGATATGAAGATGTAGTTTTTCTGCCTCATTCCAAAAATTCGTTGAGATCTGGGGATTGTGAAGGCCAACGCTACAAAATGAAGTCTCTCTCTTATTTCTCAAATGAAGGCTACAATATCATAAATATGGCAGGATATATTATCCTGTTTCAAACCCCCATTGCCATTTCGATAAATCATCTGCATTACTTGGTAAACGACAATAATTAGGTTTAGTGTTTTGTTCAAACCATCATAAGCCCTCATGCTAATATTAACTATGTTAATAACCTTTTGGGGTTATGTTTCGCGATAGCTGATATGCATAAAACTTTTGGATAGTCTTAATATTGCATCCACTCAGTGTAAATCGCCTATACACTTTAAAAAATTATTCTTTATGCATATTAAATGACAAAAAGATTTTCCATTTAAAATTATTTGCAGCAAAGATGTGCAAAGGAATTTCTAAAAATAGCATTTTATATGATACGCTAGGTAAGAAAAATAAATATTTCAAATCTAATTGAATTGTCAATCAATTCTAAACCATATTGAGTTTAGACCATTTATATAATTTGGAAAGTAACAAATTTAAGAGAATCACTAACTAATAACTTTATTGTTTCCTTAAAAGCTCATGAGCTACGCCTACACCCGCGTCTTTATTAATTTAGTAAAAAGAACTAAATTCCCATAACTTATTACATTATTTTTTTATAAATGATAGCTCTAGAATTATTTATTACCTTCAGCAACCGATGAAACCTAATTTTTACCGATTACTGTTTTTTTCACCATAAAATAGAATTTATTTCTATCAATTTAATTGAAGCATAAAGAAAAAGAAATATAAAAAAGCAATTACGAAGTGAAATATTTCTATTTTCGAAACTTTATAGATTACAATGTTTCAAAACTATCATTTTAACTATCTATAAAAACTTTATCACAGAGCTGAAATTAATTCTAATATTTCATCTTTCAAAACGGTAATAGAAAAAAAAACGGACGCAATAAAAGGCTCATAAAATTTTGCTGCAGAAATATTTATTGAATCTGTATTTTCAAAAGAATTCGAATAAATACTTGAATAGTTATAGCTGTGATAATTTTGGTTATTTCCGTTATACAATCTAAAGGAACAATGATTTAAAAAGTCACCATTAAACATTCGAGAAGCAATATTACTTTACTGTAGGAAAATTAGAGGATATTTAAAGGACAGGGTAATGTAAATATAAAACGCAAGTTTTTTTTTGTTACTTAATTTATTGTACACGTTTCGAAATAATTCTAAAAAATTAAGGTGAAGATCTTGATGAGCAAATGAAAAAAATCTCAATTTTCGCATTAAGGGATATAACAGTATTTCAATTACTTTAGTATTGAAATATGCCGACCGGCCTGTGCAGGGGTTAGGGAACTGTCATTGCATCAGAAAGGTTCTAGGTTCAAATCACGGGCAAAGTATGGATGTTCCTCCCTTCTCTGTACTATCTGTCCTTACTGTGGGAGCAACGTTGGTTCACCTAATATGGTGCCCCTGAAAGAGAGGCCAACAATATTGCCCTGTAAGTGCCTGAATTGACGAAAAAATAATGTTAACACACGTGGGCATTGGAAAATTAAAAAAGTATTGAAATATTTATAACTAGAGGGTTGCGCCCCCTGCTCGCTAACGCTCGCCAACCCCCGAAAATTGCTACGCAATCTTATATGGTTTGCTTCGCTCGCTACTAACTTAGGTGCATTGCCAATGCACAAAATTCTAAAAATTCAAAACAATCATTCAAATCCATATGGAAACTTTTTTTTAAAAAAAATTACACCTTTTTAGTAAATACTAAGTCATTAAAATAAATTTGAATTCTAATAAATGACATGTAATTCGTTAAACCTATTAGAAATGTGCTCTAGTATAATTCGTGATATAAATCAAAAATCGTCAAATAAATTAGTAGTATATAAATTCGTGAAAAAAAGCGCTCTCGACAAAATACTAAAATAGAGATCTACCGGCAAAGACTACTCACTTCTGCCTAGCATAATATTATGAGATTGCCGCAGCTGATGCTCTCTGGTTATTTCAGTTTCCGTTCTTAAAAGCGCTATATGTTGAGCCACCTCAGCTATATTTGGCATGTGACATTTTTGATTTATATCACGAATTATACTATANAAGGCCTCAGCAAAGACAATATGTTAAAAACTGCACTCTTTGAAACTTATACCACGATAATGCCAAATTCATAGACTTCATTTGGGAACAATATGCGCATTTGCTTAGAGTTGCCATGGACTTTTAATAGAACAGATATAAAATAAGTTTCGTGACTCTCGTAGATACATGCATTGTGTTCCATAATCTCCCTCTTTAATACATATTTTAAAAACCCTTTAGAAAATAAAGTTAAAACTGCCCATTAAGAGACGGATATAATTATTTAAGAGAGAAAAATAAAAAATCAGCTCCAAAATCTGACAAATTACTATTAAGAAAGTTGAAAATTAAAACCAGTTTTGATTACCATATGGAACTTAAGAATGTTTCCATTAATTGCCTTTTCCCAGTTTCCTCTAGCAAGCAAACTATTTTGATGTTTTTAAACCGGCCTTTCTCAATAATGAACCTTCAGATTTCGATAACATACTCGTTTTGCTTTATCTCTCGCTTTGAATATTAGTTTGTGACGGCTAATATAACAGTTCTATTTTTTTACCTCGTTTGAAAAAGTTTAAAAAAATTTCAAAATGTATACTAAATGGGGAAAACTATTGAGCATCCTGTTTATATTTTTTGAAAGCGTTACCTTTGAATATTTCTGCAAAAACAAAATGGTAGAAACTATATACTACAATTTTTTGAAAATAATGGCGCATATTTTTGTCTCGCATATTTTAAATATTATACGTTTACTCTGCATGTTCGAATTCGAACCATGACAGACCAAATTTTTAAGCACTTCATTCTGGAACAACATATACATTCATTTAGGGTTTAGTGGTAGAATTTGTGTTTATGGATGACAATGCTTCTCGTGCCTTCAATCTGAGAATATCACGCGCTTTGAATGGCCAGCGTTCTCACCTGTTTTGAATCCAATAGAACCTGAGTGAGACGGGATCGCACGACGAGTTGCAATCCAATTAACCATTCCCATCATGTAGAGTGCATTGCTAATTGAGTGGGGTTTAATCCCATATCAGCTTGGTATGGGTTAATTCTCCTTAAGCTTTATGGGTATTCTCCTTAAACTTAATGGATTATGGGTATTCTCCTTAAGCTATATGGGTGAAGCTCCTATCAGCTTAATTCTTTCATATTAGCTTGAAAATTTGATACTTGGTATGCCGTAGCGTTTCACTGACTGTGTTACCATGCATGGGATACATACACGTGACCATGCATGGGTAACATAAACATGACCACCATACCAACCATACAATGTTACGTTTTTGTATGAGAGGTGACTTTACTAATTACTTCAGGGAGGGTTAACACTCCGTAGTTTTATGAATGCTGTCTGTCTATCATGCATCTTGATATCTTTCTTGTGCTTCATTTGCTTCACAAACCTTTATGTGTATGTAATGTTTATTTTGCTTTTGAATCTTTATTTGAGTAAACAGGCATTATCTGCAATTTAAGGACATGAGTGTATACTCCATTGAATACTTACTTCTTCTCCCATTTTGTCCATTAAATCCATTAAATGCTTAATGTCCCTGTTGACAAATGGATTTCTTTGCCTAGGTAGTTCAGATACCTTAAACTGAGTTCTTTTACCCTAAAAGAATTGAAAAATTCAGTTAAATCTCTTAAAAAGTAATTTTCTTAAAAATATTTAAATTGCTTTCATTATGTAAAAAGACATACTAATTAAAAAAAAACATAACAGTTCGATTTATAATATTATTATGTAGAATCTAGAGGGTTTCCACTAGATAGCTGACCCATTTTGAAAGTATATATAATAATAACACGATTCGGTTAAAAGATGTGCTAATGTTATAAGAAAAGCTATACATTTTAAAAATGTATTGCTTTGAAGTAGATCCACCATTTGTCTCTAAGAAGCGGTGGGGCAACCTGCTGCAGGAAAAACAGACAGAACACCTAGTCTTCTGTTAATAGTTCCGTGATCTCTTACGCTAGAGCCACCTAGAACTATCTGAACACATCTCCTTTTTCAAGATATATTGCTTTTCTAGTAATTATGCAAAAAGCGCATTTTTTCTTAATTACATTTAATATGAGCAAGTCATTTAGTGGACACTTTATATTTATTTCCCAAGGAATGAATGAGGTATAAATTCCCATTAAACTAATATTATAATTAAAACAGGTAGAATAAAAATGCTCAGTGTTTTTTTAAACATTCTCCAGATTGAAAAGAATGGTAACCCTTAATTGTCAAAATTATATTTATTTTTATTTTTGTATGTAATAATTGAGAAAGAACACAGCATATTCACGCCTGAAAATTACTACGCTTTTAGCAAAATATTTTATAAAGAGGTAAACATTTCGAATCGAAGCTTTCAGAATATTTGGTAATTTTGCCAGCATTTTAAAAGCCTCACCGTGAAAATTCTGGAACAAAGTGACTTTCTATATGAACTTTTAAATCATTCATACGTAGTGATATGGAAAATAAGTTTAAATGAATAATGAATAATTCATTAGTCTGACTTGTTTGGGGTTCGGTAAAGATGAGGTCCTGCGAGACTCCAGTCTTTTTATGGACTTTTGGAGGTGTTCGAATTCATTGGAGTCGTCTAGCGCTGCTAGACGATTCCGAGATTAGCAACAACAACATAATTCATTAAAACAAAAATTTTGCTGCCACTAGAATAAAAAATTTTCAAAAACCATTAAAAGTTGGCGGCACTGCATATTACCTACAAAATAGTCTGTAATTTCATGAATATAATTTATCTATAAAATTGTTACTATAAATTGAGTAAGGCAGTGTATGTTATATGCCCCAGTAGAACCAACAAAAGAATTCTTAAAACATTAAAAGTTTTTTTTTAAACTGTAATTCCCCAACTGAGTTCGAGATAGAATCTAGGTGCTTTTCCCTTCCAACTAAAATACTGGACAGGCAAAATTTTGCATAGACTTGCTTAAACAGCTCGACAGGGTGCCTTGGGTTTTTTAATTGAATATGTAATATTTTTAAATTTTTTTATTGATTATTCCATAAATTCCATGAATATGTTATATTTTTAAATTTTTTTTATAGATTATTGGCACAACGCCCAAGGCAACATATTTGTTACTTTGTCATTTAATTTGAGTTTTTGGTATGTCTTTCTCCCACCGCTGTGTATACAGGAGAAATTTAAAGTCGCAAACATCAATGTTTAACGGGTTCGTAAAAATATATGTTTAAGAATTCAAATTAAAATAAAATATCACAAAGATTCATTGAGTAGTTGACTTTATGTGTTACAAAAATATTAAAAATAGCCTTCTTTAAATTCAATATTCGAACACTAAATTCAACATTGTTCAGCGAACGCTGAAACTTTGTTTCAACTTCTCTCACTTCCCATTTCTCTCATTTCCAAAATGGTAGACCTACTGTCGAGCAAAATAACACTCCACTATATCCCAATAAAAGTATATGTTTAAGAATTCAAATTTAAATAAAATACCACGAAGATTAGTTGAATAGTTTATTTGAATAGGCTTTATGTATAATAAAAATATTCAAAATTACCTTCGTTAAATTCAACATGCTTAAATTCCCATTTCATAGAATTTATTACCCTTTTTTTATGATTTTGGTCAGCGAATGCTAAAACTTTGTTTCAACATCTCTCACTTCCCATTCCTCTAATTTCCAAAATTGGAGACTTACTGCCGAACAAAATAACACTCCAATATATCCTAATAAAACAAAATAAACAACGCTTTGTAAAAAAAAATAGCTACTATTGCACTGGGATCTCCAATACAGATTGAAATACGCTCTTTAAAATCTACATTTCCATCTAGCAAAAGGAAAATGGAAATTCAATGCATTTTCACTGAATAATTTACCGTTAAATTTTGATGTACGCAACTTTAAATGTATGATACTAATTGAAACATATTTATAACAGTCTGCATTACCATTTAGCAGGAGCAAATTTAAATTCAATTCATTTTCACTGAATCATGAACCGTTAAACTTTTAAAATACGCAATTTATAATATTAATGCAAATTCAATGCATTTTCACTGAATTATGAACCGTTAAGATTTTATGTACGCTACTTAAAATGTCCGGGATATTAATTGAAACACATTGGCAGAAATCTGCTTTACCATCTAGCAGGGGGAAATGGAAATTCAATGCATTTTCACTGAATTATGAACCCTTAAATTTTGATGCATTTGACTAAAAAAGTCTCTAATAGTTATTGAAACTCCTTCGCAATAATCTGCATTGCCATCTGGTGGATTTAAAAGGAAATACAATTTGTTCTCGCTGGATTTTGAACCGTTAAAATTTGAAGTACGTGACTTTTACCTTGTAATATTTTCTCTCGTGGGGTGCAAAATGAAAGAAAATGGCATTTTCTTATAATAAATAAAATATAATGTTATTTTCCAGACATCTCTGTAACTGCGTTCACAACACATATATTTTCAAGGCATCATCATGAATCCATCGTCAAGACATGACAGACTTATGTAAATTAAAATAAAGAAAATGCTGCGTATGTCGAAAACTATTACAATATTTGAGTTTTGTTATTTATGCTAATTGACTTACATTATAATGGAGGATGTCTTCAGATTCATTGATTTTGTATGTTTCCACGCCAAGCTCTTCAGCCAATCGAATCAAACGTCTGTGAGAGGGCCCGAAATAAGATCCACCGAAATCAACGTAGTTAACTTTAGGATCCTGAAAAACGTATGCAATAGAAACATGCTCAATGCAGAGGACATATCTTAACAAAAATTAATTTTATGTCGGTAGATAATAAGCTCACCAAAGCCCCTATAAAAATCATAAAAAGGATATTTAAGACAGGTTAGGATGTGTGATGTTTTTCTTTTTATTATGGATAGAACTTGTTCACTAAGGTGTCACCTAACAACATGTTTATTTTAACACTCTGAATGATCAGGTGTAGCCTTTGAGTTAACATCATCATTTTGTTGATCATAGAGGCTAGAAGAATGTGTGACTTGTTTTATGAATACTGACTCACTCTATAACATCTTAATTGGTCAGCAAAAACACCATATTAAAAAAATCTCTCAGGTGATTGAAAGTTTGTAAAGCTTTGAAATCAGTTTTCCGGAAATTTTGAGGAATTTGCTAGATCAAATCCTCGGCAAGTGACATAAACTCGATGCGACATTCGTGCAAAACTATGTGAAGTGAACTATTGGTTAAATCCAGTACAAGAACAAAGTCAAGTAATTAAGTACAAAGTTAGCAAATTCAAAGGTGAAGTTACCAAGTGTTAAATAAGTGTCTTAACAATTCTCTAAGGTTGACTGACTAATATTTTGCCTGGGGGATTATCAAGAATGTATTTTTTAAATTTCTGATTAAATTATACATAGGGTGATCAGCAATAAGAAACAAAAAAGTGTTGTACATTGAAGGGAAAGAGGCAGTTCAAAGTTTCCGGCTGACAAATTATCATTTTCAAATTACTTGCTTTGATAAAAATATATTACAGGGAAAAACTATCTAATCTGATTACAGCTATTGAAATAAAAAATTAAGATTTGTAAAGTGTCCCAAGGTTCAAACTTTCCCCGTAAATGTTAAACAAGAACGTAGTTTACTTAAAATTACATTTATCGATCATTTTAATAAGTCTAAACATGTATAAAAATACAAACTACATCATTTTTTTTTACAATTTTTGTTAATGTCCGTCCACCAAATCGATCTCTTGCTTCCAATAAAATGAAACTAACACCAGATTCACTCAACAATTTAGCTGCACATAACCCTGTAAATAAAATAAAAAATAGCAATAAATAATTATAAATACACGTTGTAATATACATAGTGTTTAGAAATTACTGCCCTTAAAGTATATATTTTCAATCCTTACCTAAAGTATCAACTAAATTCGATTTCCGATTTGATCGCTTCATATTTCGATTGCGCTTTTTGATACCCTTAGTTTTCTAATAGTTTTGATTTCCAACTTGATCGCTTTATATTTCAATAGTGCTTAGGCTTAACTAAGTCTAATTTTTTACTAGTTTTGAATCACTGAGTTTTCAAAAAAAAATAAACATTCTTCAGTTTTCTTATAAATAATTTTTTAACCTTTTTTTAAGAAAATATAATTTTTGTTTTACTAATAAAAATGTATCTAAAAAACATGTTCTAAAACTAAAAAAAAAAAAAAACATTCTTGAGAAGAAGAAAAAATTTTCAAAGAAACAAAAAAAATATTTCTCTCGGTTTTTTCAGTTTTTCGGATATATCTCGCTTATTAATTCACAGAAAGCAAATTTTTTAACATTTTATTTCTACAAGTATTTCAGTTAAAACAGTTTGAAAACTTTGCGACTACGTCTGAAACAGAGAATTTAATGTTAAGGTGTTTCATAATGATAACTTTAATATTTTTAGAATCCTTGTCAAAAATGAAGTCAAAACAAATCTTCACATTGAGGGAATATTTAGAGAAAACGTATTCGAAATTAATGGAATCACTCGTGAAGAAGACGAATTGAAAAATATCAAAACTAGATTAAGATGTTTTTGATTTTCTACCTTCTCAACTAACTCCTCTTTTTTTCCCGACAGTAACTAAATAATTGGATACCGAAAGATAACCAAAAGATTATAACCAATTTGATAACCAATTCAAAAAATTTTTAATGTATTTTTTTTTTTTTTTTTTTGGTTAAAACAATAATTTATAAAATTTATCATATAAATCTGAAATCAACAAGTGCGCTTACGTGAGAAATGAAAAAGTTTTTTTTTATTTTTACAATTAATTTATTTTTCGGTGCAGTGTAAAATAGAAAGATGATTCTAGATGCTATACGCAATAATATTGTGCAAATTTACAGTCAAAATAAAACCTAAGAATTTTGCCTACTGGCTCAATTCAGATTTAGTAAGACTTCGGAATTCTTCTAATGAACTGACATTTAACTTAAAACATCATTTTATTATTTGAATTAAAATAAGTTTCCTTTACATGTGTAAAACACCTACTTAAACCCTACTTAAATCATGTTTTGAATTGTCTGAAAACATTGAAAATATTTCCGGCTAAATTACGCAAAATTGAAGGGAGATATTAGTTTTTGAGATTTCCTGAATGAAAGTTTTAATAGTATCACAAAATATCAAATGATTTTTTTTCTCCACCTTTCAGATTTATTAACCAGCGTAAATTTCCTATCCAGATTTTATAGTTTTAAAAAATCTTATGAAAGACTCTGCTATAAAAGTTTTGAATATTATTCAAATATATAATATAATATACTTACCGCTTAACCCTCCTCCAACAATGATAACTTCAGCTTCCATTTTATTTTATTATTATAGAGAATAAAAACATAAATTCAAATGCACTGTTTAACTATTTACATTCATTACTTATCATTCTAACACGAGGAAGATGTCAAGAAATAACCTTGATTACATATTATCAAAACTTTCAGATATCTGTGTCGAGTTCATTAGTTATGATTACTGTTGCCATCTGCTGGAGCTTTTTATTAAAAATGCTATGTTTACTTCGAATCTCTCTTTAATTTTATGACTGCTGTCGCCATCTGATGTACATCAGTACAAATAATTTTTATATTAAGTTAATTTTTAAATTGTGGGTTGCTGTTAAATTTTGCAGGAGGTATTTTCCTAATAAAACTTTCCGAAAAGTATTTTTTTACCAACTCTTACTGCAAAATTTATGTTTTCAAGGAAAATGTTTAAATTTGTTTATGAAATATTTGTTTTTATTCCATTATTCAATCTGTGCAAAATGAAATGCAAAATTAATTAAGTATTTTTTCTGTATTTCTTTTCTGAAATTTATATTCGAAATATTTTTTTTGTAAGAAATAAAATTTTTCTGAGCAGTTTTATAATTTAACTTTTTTTAATGTTGAGTTTGCTCCCAGTCAGAAAAACGAATGACAACGGTTTTTTTAAATTGATGGCGAAATACAAAGACAAGATCAAATAAATAAAGTAACTAAAGATTAAATAAATAAATAAAGGCAAGAAAATTGACTGCTCTTTAAAGCAGTTACATAAAGAGATGTAGATGCCCCTGAAAAGTGAAATATAATGAATGAAGGTAAAGTCAATTGAGTAGAAAAAAATAACAAGAGTTGAATGATATATTTTTAAAAATCTCGAATCATACGTTAAATTAATGTAAATGTAACAGGAAGAAATTTTAAAGATCTAAATTTTAATTATTAGTTTGTTTGTTTTTTTAAATCTGTTTCTATGCTTATAAAATATTTTGGTTAAGTCAAAATCTTTTCCCTTAAATTTTTCTTTGATTTTATAATAAAAATTATAGCAATAGATTTAAAGTTTAGTGACCTTGGACAATAAATAGTTGACCTCTTAGGTTGGATGCCTGAGAAATGTTAAGTAAGCATTTTTTCAAACTGGGTAATTTGTCTCGTTATTATTTAGTTTTCACACAAATTTGTAGAATTTTACAAGGAATGTTTCCGTGACAGGCCACCTTTAGTTTATATATTTTTAGAATGCTAATCAGAAATGTAAGAGATCTTTTGGACACATACTATTTAAGTAAAAGAAAAACAAAAACGCACGTTACCATCGAAAAAAGAAAAATATACATGAAGTTCAATCTGGATAAGAATATTATACGTTATCTTGGGGAAAAAATAGTGGTTGCATCATTTAACACGAGTATAAAACAAACCTCTCTCGTTTAAGATGAAGTAAAAATTGCACCGAACGAAAACGAATTCGTTATTGTGATATTGTGCTGACCTTCCTTGTTGCAACAAGTATATTGCTTTTAAGCATAGTTAAGTAGTTTTTACTAAGCGAGTTAAAATGTTACACTTGTTCTGAGAACTGAGGCAGAGGATTACTGTTTGTACTTATTAATCTGAAACTAAAGAAGTCAACAACTGAACACGCAAAGAAGCTTGGATCTTTGATAACAGGTCACCTAGATGGTCACCAGAAAAAAAGAAAAAAATAAATAAAAATGCCATTTCTGATGGTGAAATTAGTTTATAGTCATCATCCCTATACAGGTGATTCATTCTGTTGCTAAGAAGGTTATAGTCCATGGGTTTGTGTGTTTGTAAGATGATGTTAGAATTGTATCTCTTTGCAGAAAAATTAGGACGAATTCATAATAATCATAAAATATGCCAATTTAGAAATCATTTGAATTCTTCAATTTCTTCGTTTGTTTATTTTAAATAAAAAAATTATTGTAAATATTATATTTCGGTTGTATAAATTTTTATTTTTTGCTATCCTTTGACTTCGTTTTAACGAGGTTCAATTGATCCTTGGAAGTTGTAAATAATATTTAAGCGAGAAAGAAAACTTAATTAAAATCTACTACTACTGTAAAAATAAGGGGAACTATACATACATTGATGTATAATAAATGAAGACGGTTTTACTTAGTGTCTAGTTTTTAGTCACTGCCCAATTCGTTCCGTAGTCAAACAAGTTTTGATGCCCTTTAATCTCTCTTTGCTCGATCTATGATTTGTCTAGTTTCGATAACTTCTAGCAATTGATTAGCAATATAACTTATTTATTTATTATTTTTTTCGAAAACTTCCATCATGTCTTCAAAATTGTAACGAGCTTAGTTAAGTAGATTCAAAATGACAATCTAAATTATATTATAGGGTGTTATTTTTTCACCACCCTTCATAGACATTTATACCATTTTCGTTAAAAATACAATAACATTAGGGTTTGCAAATTAATATTTTAAGGAGGAAAAAAACGTTATCAAATCACCTTTTAGAAAGACGAAATTAAGAATATCAAAACCAGTTTAATATCCCAATGAAACTTGGAGGTGTTTATAATCGTCGCTTTTTCCAATTTCAGCTATCAAATTGATTTTCAGTTTTTTTGATCCCGCCTCTTTCAATAGTGATTTGTAAGATGTATATACATTTTCTCTTTTTTTTTCTTCTCTAGATATAATTTATTAATCCATATAGAAGAATTTTTTTTTTTTTAATTTCACCAAGGATCGAAAATAAAGAAAAAAGGCGTTGATTACGGAACACTCTGAGTTTTTCGAGCTAGAATGTTTTTAAAAATTTCGTTCAATCATTAAGAAATAATATACATGGACAGCGAAATAATGCCTGACCAAGTGCTCTTAGCAAAAGAAAATTTGATGTGCCAATAAACCATTAGATTTACGAAAAATATAAAAAATCTATAATACTTAAAAAGTAAATTTTTTTAAACATCTTTTTAAATTTTGTAATATAATTTTCAAAATGGTAATGAAATTCTAAAAGAAAGTTGTCTTGTAGATTCAGTAAAAGTTTCAAATTTCTCATCTGACAATTTTTCATTTAATTTATTTATTTTAAAAAAAATTATTTAACAATCATTTTTAAACAATATTTATTTTGTTTTTCATGTTTCAGAATATGTATATAAATAACATTTGTTTACAATTAATGTAAAAAAAATTGTTTTATTTTTTAAATATTTTATTTGAAAAATAAACTTTTAAACATTATTTGTATGTATCTCAAAGATTCAGTTCCAATTCTAATGTCTTTTCAAACACTCCATTACATTAAATCTGCCGTTAAGGTATCTAAATGCTGTTATTCCCAGTACAGAAGAGATAGCAAGTAATTTGAAGAAACCAGGCACCGATGGAGTGTATTTTTCTGAAAAGGTTGGTATAAAGGGCTTAGGCACAACATCCTGAAAAGAAAAACACAACATTATAATTTAATCAAAAATTATTGTTCATTAAAATTTCATTAAAACATTATAAAATAAAATTACAAATTTAAAAACTACTTTCTTCAAATAGACAGAAAAAAGAAAAGAATCTTTGTTTTGTCTGGCATTAAGCAAAAAATTTAGAACCCACCACTTTTGAAAGAAGTGGATGGAATTATCTGTGGTAAGTTAATTACTGAAACGACGCGCTTTACGTTTTTCGTTTACGTTTTCGCTTTTTAGTGGTACAGAAGAATATTCTTCCTTCATGAAGAGCGAACTTTTTTACTTTTAACATATTTTGTGGCAATCGTAATAAAAACAGAACCATAATGAACAATCGTGAACAATAATTTATTTTTATAAATTTGGCTCAAATTATTCTGATTGAAGTAAATAATATATTTCTTAACCTCAGAATGCGAAACATATAACGGACACAATTTGAAATGTTCTATAAAGTATTCAATAGAAACATTTTTCTAGTCTTTCAGATGATAATCATCCTTTATGCTCCGTTGGTATACTCAGGCTTTCGTTATGTCATTTGCAATCAAAAAGCAAAGATAGAATTAGAGAATACAAAGGTCGAAAACCATAAATATATAAATAACATAAATACAGTTCGAATTATTTAATATGAAGCAAAAATTTGAAATAAAGAACATATTTTTTAACCTCAAAAAGGCAAAATATATTACAGTAAAAGCGTTAAATGATCAATAGAAAAATATAATTTTGATTTGATTATTTAATAATTCTCTTATTAATTCACTTATTAATTCTCAAACTTACAATTATTCCATAATTGACAAGTATAAAGATACAATAAATATTTTTGTTATTAAAAAAAGTTTCATTAGCAGGATTAATATATATATATATATATATATATAAAAACAAGAAAACACGAAGAAAGTTAAGAAAAACAATAAGTTTCATTTATTGCGCTTCTTACAAGTAAACAGAACTCATTAGATAAGTTCAAAATGAAGAATAAAACAAAGAAAAATAATAGACATATGAAGGAAAAATAAAAGGGGGGGGGGAAATAATAAGTAAAAAAATAACAAACAACAGTTTATTTTAAAAAAAATGAAATGTTAATTAAAAAACCGGAAAAAAAGATATAATCTTTTCTTCAGCCCACACGATTATATCCGCAAAACAGAGTGCTTTCTGATATTGTATCAATAAAGCCAAAGC